AGAAGCTCATCCTGAAAAACAACCACCCAAGGAGGGAGGTGGGAGGGAGGGCAGATGAAGCGCCACGCTACAAGTTACGTTGTTACAGGGCAGGGGGAGGGAAAGCAAGAAAGCAGACAGTGGGGGGTGGGTGGGATGAGAAGGAGGCGAGAATGGAAAACGAGCCACGCGTGGGATGTCCAAATCGTTGGCAATGCGCCAGCTGTCTCCCACCTCCTGGTTGAGATGGGTTGGGATGGGTTGCGGGGAGCACAGGTGGAATAGGCGGGGGTGATCAGTGCTTGAAGAATCTTTGGCACGCGCAGCACTATGCCCAAATCTTTGGCAATGCTGCTCACTGCGCTCTCACCCATCAACCTTGTCTAATTTCTGCGAGTCGGGGCGAAACTCAACCCCCGAGGCAACGTGGTTGTATGAAAGTAAGGCACGCGCAGCACTATCCCAAATCATTGGCAATGCTGCTCATTCCGCTCTCACCCACCTCCCTGCATCCCTCACTCCCACACACCTTGTCTAACTTCTGCGAGTCGGGGCGAAACTCAATCCCCGAGGCCACGTGCTTGTATGAAAGGTGAGGAAAGAACGGCACCAACACATAAGGCACGCGCGTCACTGCGTCCAAATCGTTGGCAATGCGCCAGCTGTCGCCCACCACCTGGATGGGAAGTTATGGTATGGGTTGGCATGGGTTGGGATGGGTTGAGATGAAACACATAAGGCACGCGCGTCACTACGTCCAAATCGTTGGCAATGCGCCAGCTGTCTCCCACCATCTGGTTGGGATGGTTTGGGATGGGTTAGGATGAAAACAAGTACAGCACGCGCCAGCTGTTGCCCAGCACCTGGTTGGGATGGGTTGGGATTGGTTGGGATGGGAGGAGGGAGGGGATCTTCAAATCGTTGGAGATGTACCAGTTGTCTCCCACGATCTGGTTGGGACGTTATGGTATGGGTTTGGATGGGTTGGGATGGGCTGGGATGGGTTTGGATGAAACAGGTAAGGCACATAGGCACAATGTCCAAGCAGTTCGGTTGGAGATGTATTTGTTGTCTCCCACAATGTGGTTCGGTTGGGTTGGGAAAGCTTGGGAAATGTTGGGAAAGGTTGGGATTGGTTGGGAGGAGGGGATGAGAGGGAGCGGGAAGGGGAACGGGGGGAGTGGGGGATGCCAAGAGGAGCGACAGAATCGAAGGAATAGGTGAGGTTACCCACCATGATTCTCATTGGAATTCTATAGTAGGGTTGAGCAAGAGGCGAACACGAACTTGTTCGCATTCGCCCCTTCACGAACACTGACGTTCGGCGAACCGAACAGTGTTCGGTTCGCCGAACAGCATTAGCAAAAAAAGGTGTTCGCCGTTCGCCTGTGAAGGCGAACACCTTGGTGTCGGAGGCGAACACGAACATGTTCGCCCCGGGACTACAATCACTATAGTCACACATGGCAGATATTGAATTTGCCCCCCCCCTTCTTGCCATCTGATCCGACGGCGAAAATGGCATTTGGCGCCTTCGATCAGAGGGCATTCGCGACGAACACATTCGTATTCGTTTTTGCCCCGAAACGAACACGAACGTGTTCGTGTTCGTCGTGGCTCGGGCTTCCAAGACCAACCGAACACGAACATGTTCGGGCGAACACCGAACACGTTCGCCACGAACAATTTAAGCAAAAAAAAAAAACCTGCTCACTGTTAGTGCTAGCCCTCAATCTCACACTTTGTACTCTATATTTTCTAGATCCTAGAGTAGTGTAGTTTGCACTTTGTGTTTGGTTGGGTGTACACCTACATCCCAACCAAACCCAAATGTAATCTCCAAGCAATCTCCAGCCCATCAATTGGAGATTGCCTTGGGATTACCCCCAATCCCTAGGGATTGCCCACGATTCCCTCCCCCATCCATTCCTTGCCCATCTTGGATGCACTTAAGAGCTTGAAGCTCATTACTAATGTATCAGTTCTAAGCCTAAGTTGTGACACTCAAGCCTATTCTATAGACCGGTAAATGAATCCAATGCCGATGTGGGCAAACAGGGAGTTTTTTATATTTCTAAAAAAAACACCCTGCAATCTCAAGGTGAGGGGACAATTAGCACCTATAGACAGAACCCTTTGCCCATGTGAACAGATAGGGTGTTCTGAGGATTCTAAAAAACACCCTGCAACAATTACAAGGTGAGGGGACAATCAGCACCTATAGACAGAACCCTTTGCCCATGTGAACAGATCGGGTGTTCTGAGAATTCTAAAAAACACCCTGCAGCAATTACAAGGTGAGGGGACAATCAGCACCTATAGACAGAACACTTTGCACATGTGCCTGAATGACTTTTGAGTCGACTCAAAAGTCATCTCAAGGTGACGGGACAATCAGCACCTACAGAATCCCATGTGGCTGGAACCCTGCATAAATTGACTTGCACTTGCCCTTGGCCTTTCGCTGCTCTTTCTAAGCATTGTACTTAGGGACCTACCAACTAAGCAATACGCACCTGCTTGAAGCGAGCAGCAAAGTTACGGTTGCCCACACGGGGAGAGCCGAAGTTGTAGAGAGAGAGGGTGAAACCGTTCTGCCTGTGGTGGTGGTAATGAGGGATTGGAAAGAGGGGTGTGTATAACGACGGGGGAAGGAATTTGAGTCTCCTCACAAGCCACGCGGGGAGAGCCGAAGTTGTTGAGAGAGAGAGCAAACCCGTGCTGCCTGTGGTGGTGGTGAGAAGAGATTGGAAACAAGAGGACCTGTAGTTCATAAAAATATGCATATATTTTAGTATGAAATATATATTCTTGTATTAAATATGAGGTAGGCATGAGCAGGGGGCGGACACGAACATGTTCGTGTTCGCCAGCGGCGAACATGTCACCTTCGGTTCGCCGCGAACACTTTCAGGGAAAAGGGTGCTCGCTGTTCGCCTCCAGGGGCAACACCCTCATGTTCGCCGCGAGCGTGAACATGTTCATGCTCGCCTGTCACACCCCTCAATATAGCCACATTAACCAGTGTACAGCCCTAATCTGGCCTTAATGTTGAATTCGCCTACGATTTCAGCAGGTGTTGGTGGATTCCTGTTGGCCTGAGCCCCAAATGGCACTATAAAGCCTTAGCCAAAATCCTATCTATTCTCCCTACTAACTACGCTACCCTATTTGTGTAGTTTAGGCTGGTGCCTAGTGTTGCTGGTGGGGAGTATGGGTTGTGGGTGGGAGGATCGTCAAGGTTTGAGCTCAAACTGAATATTCCGCGACCTAAATATGTTGGTCGCGGTGGCGAACACTTCTGTGTTCGGTGACACCCTCAGACGAACACTAGCGTTTTTGTGTTCGTCGCGGCTCGGCCTGCCGCGGCGAACCGAACGCGAACATGTTCGGGCGAACACGAACATGTTTGCCTCGAACACTTTAGGCCTGAAACATATTGTTAGAAAATATATTATAGCATGCTTAGACTTTTGAGCCAGTACACCAATTGAGGTGTACAGTTGGGTTGGGACTACACCCAACATTGGGTGTAGCTTTGCAGGTTGGGGTGCCAATCCAACCCAATTGTGGTGGAGCCCTCAAATGCACCCATTGGTCCTTAAAGCTGCGGTCTACATACCTGAAGCGAGAGCCATAGGTTTATTGAGAATTCTCAAAAATCACTTGAAAAAAGGGTAAGGTCGTAATCTCGCTTGGATGTGTGGGGGAGACTTTGTCTTACGCGAGTCCGCCAACCCAACCCCCTCATGAAATTGGTTGGCGTCGCCAGCACGCTTTGCATTCCTCGACCATGTGATCCTTGCTTCCGCTCAATTTGTTCCCCAATCATTGGGCGTCAAAGGGTGTGCAGACAGTTTACCCCCAAAAAACCACCTTCGAATGTAGACTGCAGCTCTAATGGTGGCAACACTTAGGGAATGTTGCCAACCCAACCCAATGGGCCATTGATTGGCAACACTTTCCCAAGTGTTGCCAACTTAACCCAATGGGCCATAGGTTGGCCCACTCTCCCAAGTGTTGCCAACCTAATCCAATAGGCCATAGGTTAGCCCATTCCACCAAGTTCCACCTCCCTCCGTTTTCCTTCCAAGCTTCTCTTCCCAACTATATATGCACACTTCTCATCTGATCAATTCAATGGTTTATTTTCAATTCTTGTTCTCAAACATTTAAGTGTTCGGTTCGCCACGAACATGTTCGTGGCGAACCAAACAGGTGTTCACCCTCCTGCTCAAGCCTAATATAAGGGCCCACTCAGTACGTTTCGTCATCACACAACCACCACTGGCCTTCTCAGACAGATATCACCCTCACCTTCATCCCTCTCACATCTTGAGGTCGGACTGGGTAAGGTTGTATGTGAAGGGAGTGGAGAGAACGCTGCCCAGACAGGCAGGTGGAACTCTTCACATCCATTGCAGTCACATCCACCACGCTCATCGCCTATTGTTGCCACACTCACTTGCGTTGCACCTTTATCGCGCCCACTTCTTCAGGTTGGACTGGGCCAGGTCGTATGTGAAGAGCGGTGGAGAGAGCTCCTCCCCACCCCATGCAAGCCAAGGCCTCTTCTTTTGCTTTCATCACACCACACCACACATCACCTATTTTACTTTTGAGAATTCTCAAAAGTGGCCCACTCACTTCTTCAGGTCGGACTGGGCACGAAGAGAGCTCTGTTTTGAGTCGACTCAAAAGAGAGCACTCTGCTCTGCAGGCAAGCTGTGGCCTTTTCTTGAGTTGTCGCATCCACCCATTACATTCATATTCAACCCACTCACCTACTTCCGTTGTCGCATTCAGATTCATCCCACTCACTTCTTCAGGTCACAGTCGTATGTGAAGATCGTGGAGAGTGGAGAGAGAGAGAGAGAGTAACCCAGCGTGTCATATTAACTGTCATGCTTCCCACTCACTTGAGGTCGGACTGGGCCAGGTCATATGTGAAGATCGTGGAGAGTGGAGAGAGAGAGAGAGTAACCCAGCGTGTCATATTAACCGTCATGCTTCCCACTCACTTCTTGAAGTCGGACTGGGCCAGGTCATATGTGAAGATCGTGGAGAGAGCGGCCCCCAGGCTGTGCCCCGTGACCATGATGTGATACCTGGTGGGGCATGAGGGTGGGTTGGTGGCATGGTGGGACACATGGCATGGTGGCATTGTCAGAAGATCGTGGAGAGAGCGGCCCCCAGGCTGTTTCCTGTGACCATGATGTGGTAACTGGGGGCATGAGGGCATGAGGGTGGGTTGGTGGCATGGTGATGGTGGCATGATGATGGTGGCATGTCAGGATGATGATGGCATGGTGATGACGGCATGATGATGACGGCATGATGATGATGGGATGGTGATGATGGCATGATGATGGTGGCATGGTGATGACGGCATGGCATGATGATGATGGGTGGCACGATGATGGTGGCATGGTGATGATAGCATGCTGATGATGGCATGATGATGGTGGCATGGTGATGAAGGTGGCATGGTGATGATGGCATGACAATGATGGCATGACAATGATGGCATGTCGATGATGGCCTGATGACGGTGATGGCTTGATGCCATTATTACACGAGGAAACGCATGGGCCATACAGACGGGTTACCCGGAGGCAAGAGGTGCCACGTAAAGTCATGACTCCTCTCTTGGGATCAATCGGGCTCACTTTTCGTTGGAGGAGAGGATTGCTCCAAAAGGATCCTAGCCTAGGATTGCTTTAAGCAGCGGAATGAGGCGGGGCGTCACGGACTCGAGTATTGAGACGTCTCAAAACTCGATCCCCAGGCTCACTCACTCACGTTGGCTCGAAACTCACTTTTCGTTGGAGGAGGAGAGGATTGCTTTGAGCAGCGGAATGAGGCGCGGCGTCACGGACTCGAGTATTGAGACGTCTCAAAACTCGATCCCCAGGCTCACTCACTCACGTTGGCTCGAAACTCACTTTTCGTTGGAGGAGGAGAGGATTGCTTTGAGCAGCGGAATGAGGCGCGGCGTCACGGACTTGTAGCTGTTCAGAAAGCCACGGTGCACCTGAAGGGAGCAATGGGAACAGAGGGGCAAACAAGAGAGGTTGCTGAGAGCTTGAGGCGCAGTAGAGTGAGGAGCAGCGGAGTGAGGAGCAGCGGAGTGAGGAGCAGCGGAATGAGGAGCAGCGGAATGAGGAGCAGCGGAATGAGGAGCAGCGGAATGAGGAGCAGCGGAATGAGGAGCAGCGGAATGAGGAGCAGCGGAATGAGGAGCAGCGGAATGAGGAGCGGCGGAATGAGGAGCGGCGGAATGAGGAGCAGCGGAATGAGGAGCAGCGGAATGAGGAGCAGCGGAATGAGGAGCAGCGGAATGAGGAGCAGCGGAATGAGGAGCGGCGGAATGAGGAGCGGCGGAATGAGGAGCGGCGGAATGAGGAGCGGCGGAATGAGGAGCGGCGGAATGAGGAGCAGCGGAATGAGGAGCAGCGGAATGAGGAGCGGCTTCACGGACTTGTAGCCATCCAGAAAGCCGACATGCGCCTGAGAGGGAGTGTAGGAGAGAGGGAGTGGTAGGGGGAGGTACGTGGAGGTTTGGTGGTTTCACAACCACCTAGAGATTCGTGAAGCAATGGAAGTGTTACCAACGTTACAGATACTACATACATGCATCCAACTTCCAGTTCTGAGACGACTCGTGAGGCGCCTCAAAAGGAACGGAAGCGACTTTTGAGGCACCTCAGAAAGAATGGGAGTGCGGCCAGGCCAACGGAAACACATTCATTCAGCTTCCAGTCCTGAGTTGAAAAAGTTCCGTGTGACTCAAATTTCTGAGTTGTAACGAGCTGACATTTGAGTCGACTCAGAACTGAGACACAACGGAAGTGCGGCCAGGCCAACAGAAACACATTCATCCAGCTTCCAGTCCAGAACGACGTCTCAAAACTCGGATCTGAGTCGAATTTCCAAAAATACATCTAATCCAGTTTACATGCTTGTAGTGTGCTTCACGTTACCTTAACACCTGCCTTGTTGTCCTCTTCCGTTAGATCTGAGTCGAACCTGTGGTTGGGGGGAAGGGAGGAGGGAAGGGCGGAGGGAAGGGAGGAGGGAAGGGCGGAGGGAAGGGAGGAGGGAAGGGCGGAGGGAAGGGAGGAGGGAAGGGAGGAGGGAAGGGCGGAGGGAAGGGAGGAGGGAAGGGAGGAGGGAAGGGAGGAGGGAAGGGCGGAGGGAAGGGCGGAGGGAAGGGAGGAGGGAAGGGAGGAGGGAAGGGAGGAGGGAAGGGCGGAGGGAAGGGAGGAGGGAAGGGAGGAGGGAAGGGAGGAGGGAAGGGAGGAGGGAAGGGAGGAGGGAAGGGAGGAGGGAAGGGCGGAGGGAAGGGCAGAGGGAAGGGAGGAGGGAAGGGAGGAGGGAAGGGCGGAGGGAAGGGAGGAGGAAAGGGAGGAGGGAAGGGAGGAGGGAAGGGCGGAGGGAAGGGAGGAGGGAAGGGCGGAGGGAAGGGCGGAGGGAAGGGCAGAGGGAAGGGAGGAGAGTGGTGGGAGAGGTTGAAGTGAATAGAGTTGAGGGAAGGAAGGGAGGAAGGAGATCAAAAGATCAAGATGAGCTGATTGGGATGTTTTCATACACGCATTAGGCTTATTACTTGGGCTTTGTATGGACATCTGGTGATGTATATGTATTTCAGCTCTTGGGCAACTAATGAGCATTCCCAAAATAATGTGCAGGTGCAGCACTCACTCCCTGTCCTTGTGCAGGTGCAGCACTCACTCCCTGTCCTTGTGCAGGTGCAGCACTCACTCCCTGTCCTTGTGCAGGTGCAGCACTCACTCCCTGTCCTTGTGCAGGTGCAGCACTCACTCCCTGTCCTTGTGCAGGTGCAGCACACTCCCTGTCCTTGTGCAGGTGCAGCACTCACTCCCTGTCCTTGTGCAGGTGCAGCACTCACTCCCTGTCCTTGTGCAGGTGCAGCACTCACTCCCTGTCCTTGTGCAGGTGCAGCACTCACTCCCTGTCCTTGTGCAGGTGCAGCACTCACTCCCTGTCCTTGTGCAGGTGCAGCACTCACTCCCTGTCCTTGTGCAGGTGCAGCACTCACTCCCTGTCCTTGTGCAGGTGCAGCACTCACTCCCTGTCCTTGTGCAGGTGCAGCACTCACTCCCTGTCCTTGTGCAGGTGCAGCACTCACTCCCTGTCCTTGTGCAGGTGCAGCACTCACTCCCTGTCCTTGTGCAGGTGCAGCACTCACTCCCTGTCCTTGTGCAGGTGCAGCACTCACTCCCTGTCCTTGTGCAGGTGCAGCACTCACTCCCTGTCCTTGTGCAAGTGCAGCACTCACTCCCTGTCCTTGTGCAGGTGCAGCACTCACTCCCTGTCCTTGTGCAGGTGCAGCACTCACTCCCTGTCCTTGTGCAGGTGCAGCACTCACTCCCTGTCCTTGTGCAGGTGCAGGCCGCAGGTCTTTGTGGAATGGACAAGTACTCACTTGTGCTTGTGCTTGTGCACGTGCAGCCACATTTGAGGCTGCAACCGCATGCGTGCAGGTGCAGCCTCAGGTCCGTGTGACGCGACTTTGAACTTCGTCTGGTGAGTATCAAGTGTGAGATTATGGTGCCTGCACGATTATGCGCACGTGTGTGTGCCACTCACTGGTTCTCGAGGACCCTAGTCAAGTCAAAGAAAGCCTCAGGTCCGTGTGACGCGACTATGAACTTCATCGGGTGAGGCTCAAGTGTGAGATTATGGTGCATGCATGGTTATACACATGTGTGTGTGCCACTCACGGGTTCTCCCAAAGCCTAAAGTCGGTCAGAACATCCATCCACGAAATCTTAAACTTCTGGAGATCCTGTTGGTTGGTGGTGGATGGGAGTGAATGGGTGTGAGAGGGTGTGAATGGGTGTGAGAGGGTGTGAATGGGTCAGAACAACCATCCACGAAATCTTAAACTTCTGGAGATCCTGGTGGTTGGTGGTGAATGGGTGTGAATCGGTGTGAGAGGGTGTGAATGGGTTAGAACATCCATCCACGAAATCTTAAACTTCTGGAGATCCTGTTGGTTGGTGGTGGATGGGAGTGAATGGGTGTGAGAGGGTGTGAATGGGTGTGAGAGGGTGTGAATGGGTCAGAACATCCATCCACGAAATCTTAAACTTCTGGAGATCCTGTTGGTTGGTGGTGGATGGGTGTGAATGGGTGGGAGAAGGTGTGAATGGGTCAGAACATCCATCCACGAAATCGTAAACTTCTGGAGATCCTGTTGGTTGGTGGTGGATGGGAGTGAATGGGTGTGAGAGGGTGTGAATGGGTGTGAGAGGGTGTGAATGGGTGTGAGAGGGTGTGAATGGGTCAGAACATCCATCCACGAAATCTTAAACTTCTGGAGATCCTGTTGGTTGGTGGTGGATGGGAGTGAATGGGTGTGAGAGGGTGTGAATGGGTCAGAACATCCATCCACGAAATCTTAAACTTCTGGAGATCCTGGTGGTGGTTGGTGAATGGGGAAGCACAGGACCAAGGAGAGAGGGTGTGAGAGTGTGAGAGAGGGTGTGAGAGCGTCAGGTGGGGGACTATGCTCATGAAGGAGAGAAAGGGGAGGGCCATTAGTTGCAATGCAATGCCTGTTGGCAACCAAAAATGGGAAAGGAGCAAGGAAAGTGGATAGGAAGGAAGGTAGAATTATCAAGGTGAATCCTTGATAGTACATATCGCTTGCCAGTTCGCGCCTGTGCATCCTTCAAACCTTCTGGAAATAGTACTTTTGTTTTTCTAGATACCAACTCCACCTGTTCAGTTCCCACATGTCGAATTCCCCATCTCTTCAGTTCTCCAGTCCCCCATCTCTTCAGTTCCCACCTGCCCACTTCCCACCTGCCCACTTCCCACCTGTCCAGTTCCCACCTGCCCAGTTCCCACCTGCCCAGTTCCCACCTGTCCAGTTCCCACCTGTCCGTTGTCAAACGAGGTCTCACTTACAAACTCTGTGCCTCGGAACGCCACCACTAGCCTCTTCCTCAGCGGGTCCTTGTCCCTCCACACGAACACCTGCACGCCCGAGTCCAGATTGCAGCGAAGCAAACAGCAGTGAAGCAACAACAGCAAAACGCGTTAAACAGACTTGGGCAAACGTGCAATGACTCCCCACACATGCCCTGATAGCAGCAGCAGCGAAAAAAACAGTTGTGGTGAAACAACAGCGACGCAACAGGGAGACGAGAACGACGAGTATCGACGACCACATCTGCACAGAAAGTAACTTAAGAAGCGTTTTTTACCCTGCAACTTTCGAGAATTCTAAAAAAACACTGAGCAACTTTTGAGAATTCTAAGAAACGACAACAAGAATCCACGACCACATCTAAACAGGAAGTATCTTGGGAGACGATGGGGGCTTGGGGAGGGATGCCTCAAAACGCGACTCAAAACGCAACCTTAAACGCAACTCAAAACGCGACTCAAAACGCGCCTCAAAGGCAACTCAGAAGCCACCCACCTGAGTGTCCGTCCTGTCACCGCTCAGAAAACACACGCACTCAAACGCCGACTTGAAGAATTCCTGCTGCTCGCCCGCAGCTGCCCGCGAAAGGTTCTCCCAGGCGGCGAGCTTCACGGCATCGGCACCACTGGAAAAAAGAGTTTCAACTGCCTGTTGGTCCGTGAGTGTGAGCCCATAGGCTGCTGCTTCGTCTACAGCTTTTGAGCCTGCCTGGGGTACTGTTGCGGACTTGGGAAGCGGGGCGTCAATAAGCTTCTGGAGGATGGGGAGAGGCTCGAAGCTGGGGTGGGTGGGGAGGGCAGGGAGGCTGGGAGGAGATGCAGGGGAAGTGGGGGAATCGAATGGGGTGAGTTTGATGCACATATGGGGCAGAATAGCATGTGAGAGTGAGAGCAAGACGCAGGCCTGTGTGGGTGGGAAGAGAGAGAGGGAGCCTGTGAAAAGGCGGAAGTGGGAAGAGGGGTGCTGAGAGAAAGGTCTGGGGGATGGGTAGAGGCTCAAAACTGAGGGGAGAGCAGGGAGGGACTAAGTGATAGGAGTAGTGAACTTAGAAGGTTCTCTTAAATTCTGTGAGAGGGTCCAAACAGAAGCAACATGAGGAGGACGAAACTACTGCGAGACAAAAAAAAAAAAAAAAAAAGAGTCGAGTAAAAAAAATATGAATTTACTAAATTCAAGAGAACCTTCTAAGCAAGCTCCATACATGAAGCAACGCAAGCTCGCATAGTCCACCTGCCATAGGCGCTGCCTCTCTGGCGGACCCTCCCCTACTCCCCACGCACACTCACCCATCCATCACTTTCCCATCCCTCACTCTCCCATCCATCACTCTCCCATCCCTCACTCTCCCATCCCTCACTCTCCCATCCCTCATTCTCCCATCCCTCATTCTCCCATCGCCCATTTTCCCATCCCTCACTCTCCCATCCTTCACTCTCCCATCCCTCACTCTCCCGCTCCTCACTCTTCCATCCCTCAATCTCCCACCCCTCACTCTAACTCTCCCATCCCTCACTCTCACATCCCCTCTCTCTCGAATGGTCCGTGTATTAGCTGAAGGGTGGTACAAAGGTTTGAAGCAGACACATGCAAACTAGGCAAACAAGCAGACCTATCAACCATCACCTACTCCCCTCACCCCCCCCGCTGTCCGACCCTAGTGGTCGGACGGGGGCTCAATCAGCTGGTGCAGCTGCCCCTCGTTGAGAGGGGCCCACGGCCCTTGCAGGCTGAGCTCGTCCGCCTCCAGGGCCTCATTGGTCTTGGTGCGGAGGGCGTTTGCCTGCGCCCTCTGGAGGCACACGCTCCAGCGCTGGCGGTACTCCGTCAGCAGCTTGGCAGCCTCTCGAGAGGTAGGGGCCGCGTTGTAGCGGAGCTTCGCAGCCAGCTCTCCGCATTGCCGCAGGTAAGCCAGCACCCCCGGCGACGGGTAGCCGTAGGTCTCCACGGCCAAGGCGTGGAACCCCACCCACGCGTTCCGTCCCGCATATTTCTCCTCGTTCCGAGCAGCCGCCGCCCTAGCCGCCCAACCAGGTGCGCGGTTGCAGTTCTCGTCCTGGTAGGACACCGGGTCGGTCACGGTCACATCACAAAGCCACACTTCTCCGGTCAGGGGATGGCGGATGGAGACATCCGCTTTAAGGTTTTCAACCAGAGAGTAGGCATAGGTCTCCTTGTGAACCGTGAAGCCTGCTTCCGCCCCTATCCTTGCGATTTCATCCCTGAGAGCATGGTGTGTGGCAGTCCTCCCTTTCCCCTTCTCGCAGCGCATAAGGTGATTCGGGAGGCGGTCATCAGGGAAGGTGGTGCGGTATCGGCAGTCGCACCGCCTTGGGACAGGGAGGGGGAGGCCTAGGCGGAAGGAGGAAGCAGTAGAGTGTTGGGAGGGGCCCAGCCTCAGCGCAGAAGAGAGTGGGATTGCCAGCAGCCAGTCCCCTGCTCCCGGGCCCAGCAGGGACTGCATCCGCTGAGCATGCCCTGAGAGGGGGTTTGGGCGCATACGCCGCGCCGTGTTCAGCACTCGGAGGTAGCGGCGGGTGTGGACCGCCAGGGCCAGGGACTGCTGGAGCTTCAGTCCCTTGGGGTCGCTCTTACCAGCCTGAAGGGCCTCCAGGCCGTCAGGGGGCAGGGCCGCTTCAGCTGCAGCTAGGCGCGAGGGCAGGGCCGCTGCGGAGTCTGGGGCGGAGTCCATAAGGGGGAGCAGTGCGGCTATGGCGGGGTGTAGGGAGTCGGCTAGCGAGTGCAGGAGGTGAGCCGCGCCGACCACCGAAGCGAGGTACGCGTAACTCCCTTCCACGGCCGGGTCCGTAATTCCCAAACCCCCCAAGGTAACGGGGAGCGCTGCCTGCCGCCAAATACGCCTCCTTTCCGGGTTGCTCCTTGGCGCGACAATGTGCGCGGCCTCTAGGAACGCGTGGAGCAGCCCCTCCCCCCATGCCGACCATTCTGCTGTGGGCAGGACCTCCAGCGGGGTTGTCCTTGCCAGGAAGGAGGCGCGGCGGCTGACGCAACGTGTGAGGAGGAGGCAGAGCTGCGGGTCCATTTGCGCTAGCAACGGGAGCAGTTCAGCTGCTGCCGTAAGTCTGTCCCTGACTGCCGCGGCGCAGCCCTGCGTTGTGCCGACGGGGCTGCCGAGGATTTGCAGCCCTTCGGTCGAGATGGTGATGCCGGGGGGGACGGAGGCAGGGTCAATTGGGGCGGCGGACCAAGCCGCGCACTTAGCAGGGTTGTGAAGGAGCCCCATGGAGGCGAGCGCGGCTGTGAGGTGGTCGAATGCCGCGGCGCAGGCAGACGCATCACCGAGCAGCGTGATGTCGTCGGCGTAGGCGAGTAGGACCACCTGCGGGTGAGCCGCTGCCGTCGCAACGAGGCAGGGGTGGATGCTGGCGGCGAATAGAAGGGGGCCGAGGGGATCACCTTGGCGGACCCCCCTGGCGCTTTGCAGTGGAGCCGCTGCGAACTCATGGTCGAGGAAGAGCGAGGAGGGGACTCCGTAAGACAGGCGGACCAGGGGGGTGAGGCTTTCGAGCGCTTCGTTCCTCAACCCCTCGAACACCGCTCTCCTCTCGACCGCGTTGAACGCGTTCGCGAGGTCGATCTGTAGCGCTACTGCCGCGGGATGGACCTCCAGGTAAGTACGTGCCGTGTGTATAGCGGCCTCAATGCCCCCCGCTACTGCCACGCCGAACTGAAGGGGGACGAAGTGAGATCTAGCGGTGGGCGCGATCAGGAAAAGAGCGGCTTTGGCGATGATCCGAAGTAGGCATTCCCCAACCGCGATCGGCCTCGTCCCACCGTGCGGTTTCGTGAAGGCCAAAAGACGAGAGGCGGTAAATAGCTCTCCCGCAACGGCTGGTAGCTTCCCCGCCAGAGCCGTGTTGGTGAGGGCTAGGAGGTGGGTGGAGACTTCGGCGTTTCCTAGTGCTGCATCACGGAGATGTTCGAAGGTAGTTCCTGAGGGGCCCGCCCCCACTCCATTGGGGAGCTTGGCGATGATCCTTCTGAAGTCGCGGGCTTCGATGGCGGGAGGGTTTTCCGCTGTGGCAGCGTGCAGCCAATCAGGTAGCGGTTGGGATGCAGGTGGGTGTCTCGTCCTGAGGGCCTCGAGAACTTCAGGTGAGGCAGGCGACACGGGCGTGGCTTGCAGGGATTGCAACGATTTTGAGAGGTTACCACGCTTCGCCAGGCCCTCCGCTCTGGCGAGAATTCCAGTTGTGTCAGGTGCGTGGCGAGGCTGCGGGGGGAGGGAGATCGATTCGGCAGCTTCTTCGTAGAGGCCGGCCCAGAGCCCTTGGCGAAATCGCAGGAGCCTGTTCATCATTGCGCTCCAGTCAGGCTTGCGAGCTGACGAGGAGCGAAGAAGTAAGCGAGGGAGGAAGGTGAGTAACATCCAGCCATGTTCTGACTCGGGGTTGGCTGCCAGGTGGAGTAACGGTGTCAGCAGGCAAATCGCGAAAGACTCGCGAAGGTCTTTTGGAGGGTGGCGGGCGACTGGGGGTTGGCGACTGTCGCGTAGCGGGCCAATGTCCCAGTCAGCAACCTGGGCGAACAGGTCAGTATTTTTCGCCAGGTCGTCGGGTTTGAGCATTGGGGGGGTCGGAATTGGGGCTGCTGCATTCTCATTGGCTGTCGCAGAGTCAACTCCAGTCTCTGTGGCGGCTCGATTTCTCCTCCTTGCGTGATTTCCCCCCGCGGCTCGGTTCTGAGCTGTGGTTCGGTTGGCAGGTTCGCCTCGGACATTTGGGCTGGGGAGCTCCTCTCCCCGAAGCAAAAGTTCCAATTCCTCCTCGTCCTCCTCAGCTTCTGCTCCCAACATCCCCTCTCTTTCAGGGTTAAAAGCAGGGTCACCCTCGTCGCTTTCCTCATTCTCCACTTCCTCCTCTGCCTCCTCGCTAAGCGGTTCCTCGCCGCCCTCCGCGCCGTTTCGCATCAGCCTTTCCGCATTTCTCGCGTAGCCGCTTGCACCAGTGCGGCGCCTGTTTGAACCCCGTGTTCCACCACCTCTTCGTCCTCTCTCGTTAGCTCGTCGTCCGCGGCGGCTGCCGCGTCCCACGCGGATTCCACGCGTTGCTCTTCCAACTGCAGCTCCCTCTCGCCCTATCTGCGGCGCCGCGACCGTCTCGTTTTCGCTTCGTCGGCGCGCTGGCGTCGGCTGCGGTACGATCGGGGGTGATGGACCCATCCGCGAGACGGGATCCGGAGCTGGAGGGTTCCGCGGAGAGCGCGCTGCCGGAGCCTGCGCCTGCCGGGCCTCGTCCGCGTCTCCTTGCGCACCCCTCCGCAAGCGAGCCCGTCCGCCGCTTCGAGCGGGTGCAAACACTTCCCCATCGGCCTGCCGCGCGCCCCACCTCGCTGGAGTATTCGTGGGCGCCTGCACGTGTTGCGTCGAACCGCCCGGACGGTCAGCCGCGGCATGAGCGCGGGCGCTCGCCTCCACGTCAGCCACCTCGGCCGCCCTCTCCTCGCCGCCCTTCTCCTGAGCATCGCGAGCACTATCAGCGCGGGGAGGGGGATCAGCGCTCCCCTGCATGTCCTCGCTCTCCTCGCCGCCCATCCCCTCGTGGTCGGGCAGGCCAGCGCTCACTCCGAGCGCGATCCCCCGCGCAACGCTCTCCGCAGCGATCTCCGGCGACGCGGGGGAGGGGGTCGCCTGGGCGTCGCTGGGATTCGGGTCGCCGCGAGCAGTCTCCCTCGCGTCCACATTCGGCTGGTTCCGGGGGACGGCGGGGCCGGCGGAATGGCGAAGGGCGGGGCGGGAATGGCCCCCAGCCGGATCCCGCCCTCGATCGCGCCGCGAACACGTTCGTA